ACTGGATGGCCCAATACAATAATAGATTTTAAATAAACAACAACTAAATGTCACTGAAAATATAGCACAACAAAACAAAATTGTGTTTAAATTTATCTTTGTTGGTGTAATTTTTGAAATCTGGATGGGAGAATAGCCCACAAATTCTTCTCTATTTTCTGTATAGAGATGAGAATAAAACAATCCCTAACATTGTGTGATTGCTGGATTTAATTGCAATATTATTCCAAGTGACCTGAAATAGTATTCAATACTGTGACATAAACAAAAACCAATATATATTCAAAATGATATCTTTCATTGATTTCTTCTTTATTTACAGATTTGATGAGGTTCATTTTGGTCAGTTTACTGCCCTCTATCTCAAACGTACATTTTTTTTTGACGTTCATCCGCCACTTGGTAAGCTACTCTTTACTGCCGTTGGTTACTTTGCTGGTTTTGATGAAAACTTTGTATTTGCAAAGATTGGTGCTGGTAAGTCAAGTTATCATTCAAAATAAATAGCTCTCTATTAGTATTTTAAAGATGCATTATGGGTAATTTTGAGCATGTTGTTTCAGTGCACAGGGGTTTTTCTAGAAAAAATGATCAAGAGGGAGCACACACAGGCGATCGACCTGGAAACGCCGTATCGGAAGGCACCATTTTATCGGTGTATCTATCGCCATTGAAATATTTTTGGAGTAATTTTAGTGTATTTGGTGTCCAGACACATTGTCAGCTGGTGTTGCTGGGAAGTTTTCACAGAGAAAAATATATTTGAGAAAGATTTCATGTTGTACGGCAGCACAGAAGTGCGCGGCTCAAGAAATATATTTATGACTTGAAAGTTCAATCGTCAATTCAGTAAGAGGGCGCCAGCCAAGAGTATCAGGGCGCTGCACCTCTGTTTCCCGGTTTAGAAAATTGAGAAGTGAACCCTTCAACATTTGGCTGAATTCTCTACACCATCGTCAGTCATTATTGGCCTGGCTTCTTTTAGCCTTATGCCATTTGCTAATGACTGTACTTCCTTTTACTCATCACCAGTTATCCATTGCTGGGCTTTTGCTAACCCCATTACCAGTCACCTATATCTGGGATTCCACTAATCTAGTTGGCAATAATGGAATAAACCAATGGTGGAACAAACTGTTCCCCTCAGTAAATGCCAGGCTTTGTACACTGTAGCTGTGTTTAATTAAGTCCGGGGCATTGGGCAACCTCCCATCATGTACACTTTCAAACCGATCCATATATGTATCTCAGATGTTATATTGTTATATTATTTAATCTTCAGAATATCCGGTTAATGTACCAGTGTGGCATCTAAGAGCATTATCCGCTCTTTTTGGCACTTTTTTGTGTCCTGTTGTTTATCAGATTATTGCTGAGTTAGGATTTTCTCATTGGTCTGCTATGCTTGCTGGATTCTTGGTGCTATTTGGTGAGTGAATATTAAATTATGTACACTCTTGCATGTTGATAAAATGTTACAATTTTGAGTCCTAGTTTGGATGATTTGTATCTCTCATGTGTGCAAAACAAATTGAATAAGTATGTTCTGTCTTTTTGTGTGTATCTGTCTTGGTAAGCAAATTATTGAAAACATCGATTAAATTTTGGTACATGAAAACCCGGGGATAATATGCAATCAATGATTTCTTACTGCTATAATACCATGCAAGACAAATTATTGGGAGTTTTGTTATCATCCTATTTGAAATTGATCACCTTCCAGCTCACTACAGAAAACTCATTTACATTATTAATTCTAATCGGGCACAGCCAGTATCTTCAATTCTCAATTTTTAGCAAAATATCTCTTTTTCAGTTTAAAATTATTATGAGGTTATTACGAAGATACCTCAACGTATGCACAAAGACTGTACAGCGAGAGTATCGACCGATACGCAGGCGTACTGTCTGAGTGCATACTTTGAGGTATCCTCGTAATAACCTTATTATTATTCATCTTTTCCTTCCAAGGATACATCATGGGAATGCCGAAATCCGAAATGTTTAGATTAGTGAACTTCTTTGTGTGGAGTTCGATCAAACCCTGGTGGCAGCCATGTTTGTTTTTATTATTACAGGACGCTTACGCACGTAATCATTTCATATTTGGACCTTGCATTTCCTTATATGGTAGGATGAAAATACCCAGTAAAATACTGCAAAATTACGGCATGCTGTAACTTATGGCGTTATGTTGACAGATGTATACATGTAATAATATGTTATATTTGTCCTTCTAAAATGTTGCATATCTTTATCTTTGCTTATCCAGAAATGTACATGTAGTTATAGTATTAGTTCAAAGTTCACCTTATTTATAAAAACCCTCTGAACACTGCCCTCTCTCAGTACAACTAACACTAACTCTAGATGATAGAGGGTGCTGTTTCAACTGCAGTAGAAATGATGACAGGTATTCAAATCATGATGGCCAAGCAATTTTAATAACATAAAAGATTTGTGCTGATATAGTTTCTACTTGAATTTAACTTTGAAGTCTGTTTGAATTTGAATATAACACCATTATGGTCTGAATACTAGCAGTAGTAGTGCTTATCCATGCAAAAGTGTAAACATTACAGTGTGCCCTCATGCTTCACTCCTTTAGGTTCTGTTGAAGAAACAGTCATTTTAAAGGGCAGTGGTAGTCCTGCAGCATGTGTTCAGATAAAATAATTTTGTTGACACACATTGTGTACATTGCTATGAGTCTCATATCAAACAGGACGTGATGCAACGAACAACACCTTTAAAACAGTATTTAACATGCGACCCATATCCATTTTGGTTGGATGGTAAATGGTACTTTTTCTTGCAGATAACGCAATATTGGTTCAGTCCAGATTCATATTGCTGGATTCAATGCTGTTGTTCTTCTCAATGATGTCAATATTATCATTATTGAAATTCAGGAATTTGAAAAATAGGTAATGTATTGTTAAACATTTTTACAGGGTAAATTCTTGGAATCATCAAAAGATGTAATTTATTATTTCATCTCAGTACCATCAGTATAATTAGTCCCCGTTCGAAGAAGTTCGAAAACGGGGACTTATAATTCAGTCTTCGTCCATGCGTGTGTGCGTCTGGAGTCATATTTCAGAATCCTTTGGACCGATTCCGTTCATTCTTTGCATGTGCCTAGTACTTTGTGTGGGACATATGCACATGCAGTGGTTTAGCGATTCCCTATCCCAGAATCTCAAATTTGGTCATTACACATATGTTAACATTGTAAGCCCCATTTATTGTAGGGCACCATGGCAACAAGCATTCATATTCATGAGATGTACAATGTATGGTAATGTAATTTTAGTGCCTTATTCCCATCCTCAGACTTGCATTTTCTCAAACATACTTCACTGTAAAAAGATTAATTATTCACTGGGTTTTAATTATGCTTATTTCACTGATTGTAAAATGCGCTAAATTACAACCCAGTGAATATGTGAAATTTAGCACAGAACACATTTAGCACTGAATATGCCTGAAATGGTAAATCAGTGAAAATTAAATCCAGTGAAAATTAGTCATTTTACTGTAAACAATTTTAGCAAGTGCAATAACATAGACATGCACCTCAATTTGTTTTAATTAGCTCCCGTGAAACGGAGCTTATGTGGTACCGGTGTCTGTGACTCTGTGACTAAAATTTGTTCCACTGATAACTCAAGATCTACAATTTCAATTCAAATGAATTTTGGCACACAGCTAATATATGATGAGTAGATGCGCTGATTAGATTTTGGTGCAATTCCATGCATATTAATTACTCAATTATTGCATTAATTAGTCCCCATTCAGATGCAGTATCTGTATCTCAGAAATGCCTGGACCAATCACAATCAAACTCA